TATTGTGCAAACATAGCAGGAAATTATGAATATTGTCAGAAAAATGAAGCTGAGTCTTTGGGGTTTTTTTTAGAATATGTTAGTGTCTGAAAAAGCTCTCTGCTGGTTTATTTCAGTGTATTGTTGCTGTTCACAGTTAAGGTTACATCTTGTGCCCTGATAAATACTCCCACTTCTGAATGGGTTAATTTCTCAGAATAATTAGCTATGTGGGAAAGAGTTTATTAACTCAGGCAGTGTCATGCTAGCATAGCTATGTTGCTTCTGGTAACTAGATTAGACTGGGTATTATTGTGTAAAACTTGTACAATACAGGCATCTTAAATGCTCTGTCATTGAGATCCAGTTGGACTAGACAGCATATCCCTGAGTATGTGTTTGCAAAAAGTGTCTGTATATATGCATTTATGTATTTATTAGACATTGAAAATTCATTAGATTTTCTGGAATTCACAAATCTAACATCTCGTATGTATTTGTCTTTAAAAATCTTATTGCCACTCTCTGCTTTACCAAAACCTGAAATAAAATAACTTTCATTGAATGAAAATCTTAGCTTAGAACTGTGAGATATTTACAGTTTTGAAGTGTTGTTGATAAATACAGTGTTAATGATCTGACAGATACAAGCTTATGGGTGAGCTTTTTTTCTAAATAGAGCTATCTGTTGAATTTGTTTTCTTAATGTTAGTTGGTATTTCACGTTCAAGGGAGGTTGAAATCGGCAGGCTGGGATCCCTCGCTTTCTTCCTGTTTGTGATTGTGGTGCTGATAGTCTGACTATGAACTTCCTTGTGCAGGGCTGCTGGTAACTTCCAGTCTGATAGATGGGTATTTCTAGAAATGAGAAGTAAATGAATCTCAGCACTTACAAATGCCTTGTGAACTTTTTGAAAGGACACCACCAGCCGTGTTGTGTTGAATCAATTGTACTTATTTCAGTGATGTGTGTGTCTGTCCAGTGAGAACAGAAAATAACATCATTATTTCAGGGATGTCTGTGGGTTGATTTTTAACTCAGTGAAAGCAGGATAGTTAATGCAGTAAAACTCTGCCTCTGTTCTTACTGGGTTTTCAGTCCAGAATTGAGAGGAGTGTTTTCATAATGTGTAAATACCTCTCACTATAATGTGCAGATTATCATGCTGAAATACCTCGGTCCTTAACTTGCAACCTATGTTCAAGTACCCTATGAGGAACTCTGCTAAACAGATTTGAGATTGTGACATTTCTGGTACCTTTTCTAGGACAAGCACAGTTTTCGCTGTTCTGTGAAGCAGTGAAGTTCTTCCAGCTGAACAGTACCTGTTGACATTGCCGATCTCAGAGGGCATTTGGGGTTATGCGAAAAAGGTCCAAGGGTATTGTTTGTTCAGTGACAGAACTGAGCGTCGCTGCTAAATTGTTTTGTGCATGAGGGCCAAAAAATGAGATGAAGCCTTGGGCTAACATCTCCCAAATGTATTTCTTAAAAGACTGATAAAGGGACAAGGAGTTGGTGGGGCTTTGGCCAGATGAGGACGCAGCTCTGTGTGATCAGAGCAGGAAAGCTGCAGAACTGTGCACCTGAACCATTTGTGTGCAGGGCCACCTTGTACTCATGGGGACTCGGGCTGCTTTATGCCCCGTTTCCTCCCCTTCTGCTTCCTCAGCAGATATGCGTTTAGATCAAGTACTTGAGTAATGTTCTGCATCAAAAAGTAGTACATTGACACAATTGAATGATGGCTGTAAGTGCTGGGAGATTCAGCTGTCTCCTTTCATAGGATAAATCATATAGTTTGCTTCTAGAAAGCTTGTTTTCTCTATCAAAAATTCATACACAGTGAAAATTGTGTACTGCAAATACTGTGCTTCTGTGAACAATCTAAACAATGTACAGTTATTTTGATTTTATTGCAATTTCTTCGGCAGAATAGCCACTTTCTTAAGGCTAAATTTGAACTGAGATGTGAAACATCCATGTGGGGTGGCTGGAAGTAGCAATGTGGAGCTGTGCAACATTCCCTTACAAAATTTGAATGAGTTCATATTGGGTACTTCCCTGACGAATGCATTTCTCCGCATTGTGTGCATTTTAAGTTATCTATATTGTAATAGTAAAACCTACTTTTTGCCTTGTAGGCATACAAATATTATTGTGTATACCCAGCTTAGCCATCCATTACAGTGTTTTCTTAAAATTCTGTACAATTGCATTTTGCTTAATGTGTGCCGTTTCATGCCAGAACAAATGACTACAGATTATTCCATTATATGCAGTGGAAAATAATTCAGAAGTGTCGGTTTGGAGATTTTGGTAAAAATTCAGGTTTTGCAGGTGAAAAGTAATTTTTAATACAACATTCCTTCATCCTTGTTTTGGAGATGTAAAGCTCAGCATTTTAACTAGGTCTTTATTCAGATTAGATTTAGTATTTTTAGAGTAGTTTTTAAAACATCTGTAAACATACACAAGCATTTGCTATGCCAAACATGCCCGCTAATCCTAGTTTATTTATTGCCTCTTATGGAAGAAACCTAAGCTTGTTCTTGACCTGTAGGCTGCTAATAGAATCATAATGCACTTCTAAACTGTGCAACACTTAAATGGTCATAACAAATTCTTCTCTGAATTATATCTGGATATATTTAATTTTCAGGCTTGCTTTGTTGCACACCGAATGTTATATGACAGTATGCAGTGTTTTGGGGAGGGTGAAAAAAAGGGAGGCAGGTTTCTGTGTCATATAGTCTCTTACGGCATCTGTTATGTGAAAAGTGCCATTTTGAACGACTTGTGTATTGTTAGTTGATACTGTGATGTTTTTTCCTTTGCTCCCTTTGTGCATAGTATTATGTTTTTCTTTACTGTGTTGAGTTATAGCAGCTGTCTTGCAGCACCAGTACTGTGGAAGTTACATGGGACATAGCATATTTGGACGCTCAGTTATGCCTGACCCAGATGTTGTAAAAATGGGAAAAAATGAATTCTATCAAATCAGTTGAAGATCATGCTAAAGAGAAAGCAGATCTTTATTATGCAGAAACCACTACAGGAAAACCACAATTAATATATAAATTTTGGTATGCTCAGCTGCTGAAAAACCACCAGATACCATGTAAACATGTTAAAAAGCTAAACAGCCTCCTCTTACCCCTGCAAACCTGAATACTTTTGACGTTGTCATTTTTACCATATTTGCTTTCCAGTGCAAAAAATAACAAAAGATTTCCCCATATTCTGCAAGCTTTGCAGCTACTAATAGCTCTTTTCTACTCTCTCAAACATTTTTCAATGTCTCCACTTAAAAAATCTATTAAATGTAGAAAGGAAAGGGAAATTAACTCCACTGGAAGAATATAGTATTTGCAATATTATCACAAAAAAAACCCAAAATAAAGCCTTGGTGCTGCATTTGTCTGGCTCATTTGTAGGTACTCTGTCTCCTTAACATGTGGTCCTTGAAATCACGCATGAGTCTATTGTTTAGGAATACATTTGCTCTGACCATAATCTTCAAAAATGACCTAATACTGTGAATACACATCTTATAAGACTAAACCATTTGTTTCCACAAGGATGAAATATCCGGAGCTCTAAAAGTAGTCAGCATAAATTACAGGTAATCCTCACCTATACAAACCAGATGTCTAGATTTCAACCTGAGCTTTAGCAATGTCAATCCAAGTCTGAACTTTAGGAGCTCATATTTGAAATAGTGGAATGGAAAATCTTGAAGCTTTCTGTACTATTAATGTATAAAGAATTCTGTCTTTTGATTATTGTAGACTTGAAAACATTTTGTGCCTTTTGTTCTTAATATTTTTTTCAAATTTTCAGACCTTAACTAAGTCAAATGCTATATTTTTTCTCTTTGAAATGTTTCTTTTTCTAAGGAAATGTGTGTTTTTAAATAAGCTCTAAGGACATTGCATTTGGGCACAAGTACTTAAAATTCTTTGAAGAGGTTTTTTAAGAGTACGCATTCCTTTTATCTTTGCCTGATTGCAAAGCTATGTAGTGGTGAATCACTTTGCTAGATGAAGTTCAAAATCATGACCTCTATAAAATTAGAAGTATAAAAGCTGCAGTTAGGAAAGAAATATGATGTTAAAATGCTGGTTGCTCCAACTGGCCCTCTAATGCCTCCTTGCTTATTTTACAGAAACAAACACTGTGACACTCTACCCATCCACATAAGGATATCTTTCAGTTTCATTGCAGCTGGAGTCAATGACTTAATTCTGAAAAAGGTTGCCTTTGAGACTACAGACCATGACAGTTTTTAACAGTGAAGGAACATTCAAGTTTGTGTAAATACATAACCATGTATACTTGTAAGTATGGAGATGTGTTTGTATCTATGTATGCACAGGCTTAACCTTTAGCTGACATAATATGCAAAGTATTTAAGGAATTTTAAATGCTTTGTGGAAAAGGAATAATGTAACTGCTGAAAAATATACTAGCAGTTACATCTACTGGAAAATGAGAATGGTGTGCTTTTTTAATGAGAAAGCTCTATTATGGGACCAACAAATGAAAGTTTTTGTGATAACTGGTTTTGGAGTCTGTGATGCCTTGAATCTCAGAACTGGGCAGTTTTCCCATAACCCTAGAGTCAATGTTCCCCTTTTAAGCCTATTAATTTTACTAAATTACTTATGTTATGAATTAACTACATCACAATATTTTAATTGAGTGTGTTCATAGACATTTTAAAAATAGTTGACTGGAATAGGTCATTTAATTATATTTTATCTGTAAGAAAGCATTAGCTCTGCTGCGACTGATAGCTAACAAGGCCATCTGCAATGCCTTTCAGTTCACTCACACTGAATTGTTCAGATAAAGACTGTCAAGTCCTGCCTAAATAAGGAAGGAGCCTTGGTGGAGTTAAGTGCAGTGGAGGACACAAATGAAGCATTGATTCCAGGCATGCTGTAGAGTCTGTGTTGCTTCCTGCAGTGCTGAACCTTTTTAAAGTTTTCATTGTTGTTTTCTGCAAAGTATTAAAATGCGAGTATCTGTCATTCAAGATTTCAGGGAAGATGAAAATGAAGATGAGGAGGAAGAAGCAAAGGTGAGTTAAACCCCAATAGCTTTGAAAATAACTTATTTCCCTCTGTTATTACCCTTTTAGGACAATAAACCTCGAATGATTACCTTTCTCTTACAGGTCTTCCTCAAGCCTGTTATTGAGGACAGAAATATGGAACTGGCCCGAAAATGCAGTGAAATAATAAGTGATGTAAGTGACAGTGACTATTTGCATCCTTACATTTGCATTGCTCTTTCCAGTGGCTTTATATTTACGATACAGATTTTTTCAGACCCATACAGTGCAGCATGTGCCCATCCAAGGCTCAAATATAAAAGCACACAAAATAATAGGAAAGCACAACCTGCTCTAGTACCTTAAATTATCAGCTGCAAAAGGATGAGTTTTTCAGAACACTTGGACGGTATGAAGCATAGGCCCTAGGAAAGACAATGTTCAAAAAACTGGGTCTCATGCGGAGGGTATCTCCCATGAGAACACCTTGGCTGAATTCATCAGGAAAATGCAGTATTTTTTCTAGTTATAGCCTGATCCTATGGAGTTTGATTGGTTAGAACAGAACTGGGTGCCAGTATACATAGCTGTAAGGAGGGAGGATAAAAATAAACCAGATGAATTTTGAGTGTTATCTGTTGATCTCTGGTGAGAGATGTTCAAAACTGCTTAGCATATTATTATTGGCTTACACTTATAGGAAGAATCCACTGAAATGCTAAACTATCTTTAAAAATTATTTAGCTAGCAAATTCTTGACTTAGTATAAATTTTTAAAACTGTTGATTGAATATAGACATTATATAAACATCATAGATCGGATCCAAGACATTCTAAATTGGAGTAGGTCTAATTGCTTCAATATAACAGCATCAGATTTACCTTGGTGGAAGTTTGTCTGGGAAAGTGTGTCTGAAGAGTGACTTTGTCCTTTCATGTGAATGGGAGTTAAGAGTGATATTTCTACTGTGGGGATGGTGACTGGCAGCAGAGGAGACATTACTGAGGAGAGAGTGACTTGCTTTAACAAGTGTTCTAAAGAAATTGAAAAATGACATCTGGCTTATGTCATGTTACAATCTGATATTTAGATTTGGGATGTTATTGTTCAAGGTGAAGGAGTATGTTGATTTTACAAGAGTAGAACATACAAAATCTACACTTAAGGTATAAAATATTAGGGGTTATGTATCAGAAAAGAATAGGTAACTCAGAAAAAACGGATGTAGGATGTGTGGGTGTTACAGTGCTGGCTTGAAAGTGTGACTTGACAAGGTCAAAGTTTCCTCTTTGTTCATACACTGCCTGGTAATACTTAATTTTCACTGAAAGAGTGCTGAAAATTGGATAGATCCTTAAAAGAAGCTACCAAGATGGCTCCCTTGTAATCTCAGGCTACTTTAGGAAGCAGTAGAGATTATTAATGTTTCACTGATGGTTATCTACATACTTTCCTTGGGAAAAGAATGGCATATGGTAGAGTAAGTGCCTGTCAACTCATGTAAAGGCCAAAATTAAAATGGACCTGGAGCACTTATCTGACCTAAAATACATGTATTGCTTCCATGCAACTTGGTTGCTGTTCTTAAAGGCAAAACTCCTTGAAAAATGCTGAAGAAAAATTTACTTTAATTGAGAAGGAATTTTTACTGCTCCGTTTACCCATTAGGAGTAATGTTGACTGTGGCTGTTAATTAACTGATAAATGGGGTGGCTGTATTTTCTCTGATTTTCTGCAGGGCCTTAGGAGCTAAGGTGAATAACTAAGTCAAGCCAGGTGTCTGAAGCCTATAATGGTTCAGGGATGTGGGCTGTTGCTGAAAACTTGTGATGTGTTTAGCCTTTAAGTGTGTTAGATTTTCCTTGAGATATGTAAAGCATAATGGCAAAGTGTCATTAATGCTCTCAAAGCAGTAGTAATATGTGATGGTCTAGATCAATTTAATTTCAAAGAAGAGACTCTGTATTTAAAAATGGCATCCAGTTTTGGGGCCTTATCCAGCCTCTGCTGCAATCAGTAGGCGTATCTTCATTGGCTTGAATGGAATACCTGTATGTATAGGGTGTGAATTTTGTTTCCTAGAATTTTTGCTGTAATTGGAATTTCTTATGATCAGTCCTTTGTGCTGGGGGGTAAGTTCCTCACCTTGCACACTTCATTGTGGAGGCCAATAAACTGCAAGGAGTTTGCATTCTTGCCTTTGATTTTTGACTTGTTAACGTTCAGAACTTTTTATATATTCTTTGTCCTTTTTAGTAGGTATCTTTGCACAAACTGCTGTTTGTGTGGTTGTATTGTTGGTGTACATCTGTACATTTTATATGTACAATGGTTTTATGGGGCTTGTGGTTTGGCCTTAAAATGACCTTGGGACAGCAGCTTGTGTCCTTGCTGACCATGAGACTGGGTTATTGTCCTTTTCTGTCAGTGGAGCTGTCAGCACAGCTCCTCCATCAGAATGCAGTGGCCAGGAGTGCTTATGACTGAGATACTGGGATTACATTACACTTGCCCTGCATTCTTTGCAGGCTTTGCAGACTGACTTTAATTTGGCAATAGAGTTTTAGAAAAGTGTTATGGTGGCAGCCCTTAGTGCATGCATAACTGTCGGCCTTGAACCGTATGTAGGGGAAGTTGTGAATTGTTTATGTGTTCCGGTTCTCGAGGAAATCCCCGTTTTCATTTGAGGTTGGCAGATGTTTGTTCTGTGGCTGTGATACCCCCTGAATTGTTTCTCCCTAAAGCCATTTTATTTAATCTCCCTCCATTATGCAATTTTATCCCACAGATGTTCTCAAAAATGTCATGTGTGTTTGATTTATATGAATTACCTTCCTTTTCAGACCTTTTCCATATTGAAGTTGTGTTTGTTTGCTTCTATTACTTCTTTTTTGGTATATTTTCATCTCTTCTTTGTTTTGATTGTGTGTTGTGATGTTGTGAATACTGTTATAAGCAGAGAGGGGAATTATTATATGAGTAAAATGATCATTGACCAAACTATTATAATTCTTTTGGCAGAGAGGCAGACACCCTGCCTTCTGAAGATTCTGCTGAGTTTTGGTAATGTGTGGTACCAGTGCTTCTTTTCCTTTATAGCAAGAAGTGGTACTACTTGCCATTTAACTGTCCTTGTACGGACTCCAACTTTGCTTTAGCATATCTCTTTGTTACAAAGCAAGGGCCACAGAGACCTAGAGCCAAGTGCAGAAACAGAGTGCCTTTCCACTCATAGCAATAGGGTTGTGACCACCTAATTCAGGGTGGAGCTGTTCCTCTGGACTCACCATTACTAGTCACAGTCTCTAAGTCGGGAGCACTTTGAGGTCCAAATTACTGGAGACTAGTAAAATAGATTAATATGTGCCTCTTAATACAAAGGAAAGGTGGCTGCTTGGATTAAGCTGTTCCCATTGGTGCCTATCCTTTAGCCCACAGTCTCCTCCTGTGTTTCCCCCATGAAAAAGGCTGATGGAAATTGCCATGGGCGAGATGAATTTTCTTGGTGAGCAAGGAACCTTCAGCCTAAAGGTTGGGTGCCCTTGTTTTATAATGTTGATCTTGCCATATAACATCCATTAAGGAAAAAATGCATTTTGAAGCTTACTATTTTGGTGATTGTCTAGGAATTTTAATCCGCTTTTACTGGATAGCTGTGCTGTTGGTCAGAGTAATTTTGTGATGAATCAGGGAGAAGAAAGGGATCAGGAGAGAGCTATTGAAAATTGGGCCTTTAGTGAGCTATTGGACTTCAATAGTATGTCAAAAGAGCAGTGGTGGCTCCAGGCCATCATTTGCAAATTTTTCCTATTTGTTCTTTTCACAAGGCTTACCAGATCTGCTCAACCTAAACAGCATATTTTGTGGTGAAGGGTAAGTCGTTTACAGGCAAAATTTCCTTTTCAGTATTTTGGACATTTCAGTTTGTAAGCCCAAACTTTGAAAAGGATATTAGCTTCTCTGCCTGTTCCTTCCAGCCATTGGTTATGTTCAGTCATAGCCAACCTCTTAAGCCTCTTGCTTATGTCATTTACAATAAATATACTTTTTAAGTGCAGATATCATGACTTCATTATACTTGTCCTATTTCATCTTCCATCTTTCTGATTCTAAGTGATGCAGCCACTTCTGTAGCAGAATGGAGCGTGTTGGATCAGAGTTTGACCACACATTTTGTTATATGTCCTCTCTAAGTTGCTTCTTTGAGCCTGCGTGCGTTTCGTAGCCTCTATGGGTTACTATACTAAATGTGAATAATAAAGGAGTAAGGAGGTGGCATTAGTCCTTTACTGCTTTCAGTTATTTTGAAAGCGTGACTTCAACAGAAGAATGGCTTTGATTGTTTCTTCTAGTCATGTCATGTCATTCCCCCCAATTAAGAGATACCTTAGGAAGCTTTCATGTTTGATTTTTGAATGTAATTATTGTTCTGTAATTAAATTGGATATAATTACAGTCACCTCTCAAATATCTGTGGGTGATTTATCTAAGTTGTGAGCAGCAAGACTCTCCATCTCCTCTACCAAAATCTCAGCTTTACATGAGTTTCTTCTGGGAACGCCATCAAACCAAACCAGTAGACGGTCAGCTCTGTAGGTTTCCCATGTTCCTTCTCAGCCGTATCACTGTGAATGAACATAATTCTACAAAGTCTTTTTTTTTTAAACCGTTCATGTGCCCATACATACACACACTTGCAAGTATATGCAAGCATGTGTGCAGGTTGAACAGTAAGTGCCTGCTCATGCTTATCATAAAAGTGCCATTTTTATGTATTGCTCTGTGATTACCTAGGAGCACAGTGTCACACACAGCTTACATGAACCATTGGGTTTCTGGATCCCTGAGTAAAATGATGACACACAGTAATTTTGCACCCATTGTTCACCAAGCAGTTTTTATTTAGAATACATTGTAATCCACAAAGGCAGACAATATGACTTGATAATGAGATGGAGATTCCTTTAGCTGTCCAAACCTGGATGAGCTCAATAGTAACCAAAATTATTTCCTGTGTAAACATTATGTACTCATCAGTTTGAGATGAATTTGGCATTATCTAAACCATTTTGTGATGAACAAAAGTTTTGCATCAGAAAGTACAGGAGCTGATTCTGTGCAAGCTGCTGTCCTCATGAATTTTCCAAGTCCCTGTAGAGGAGCATAGACTAGAACTTGTGATATCTGTTAAGGATTCAGAGAATGAGAAAATTAAGACTGCATATTTCTGTAATGCTCAGATGCAGATCATATTGCTTCTGTCAGTGCTTGTCAGCAAGTCTAGAGTGCATAAATGCAAGCTGCTGTTGTGCAGAATGTGAAAATGAGGTTAGAGAAATGGTACCAGATAATAACCATGAAAGCTTAATACTAAATAATTCAATTTGCATTGAAGTAAAATATTCTATGCACAATGAAAGAAATGTCACTAAAAACTATTAAAGCTATCTATGTAAAATGTTTATATTTTAAAACGTATTTAGTCCATCTCATGATAGACATGCAGCTCTTGTATAATAATGATCCCTACGCATTCACCGTGGCCATGGACTTCATCCTTCTCACAATCTCACTAACAGAAACTGCAATTCTGATTTCATCAACAGTCATGTGATTATTTTTAGATAACTGCTTACTACGCCTGCCGCTATTGTTTGCCCCATGGTAAGAATAATGTTGGTTGTTTAAAAAAAAAAAAAAACAAAAAACCCCCACCCAAACTTTTTTTTTTCCGTGAAATACATTGTAGTGTTTTAATTCAAAAATTGTTTCTGTTGTGCATACATATGACTTAAACCTCTCAGTTTAAAATTAAAATGCTTTTAAACTCAGATATTACCTGCATGTCATGACTGTTGGGGTGCTTTGCAGGCAGTGATTTGGCGGTGGCCTTCTGAATTGCTATATGTAACTCTTGGATTCATAAAGCATTTGGCAGTGGCTTTTGATCATGTTATACAGATTCTGTGCTTTCTAGGTCTGTGTTAGAAGTTAGTTTAACAATTTTATCTTTGAGATCAAGGAGAAAATACTTTATTCAATTCTCCTTTCTTCTACAGACAGTGGTGAAAATGTGCTGTGGATGTAGAAAAAAATAATATCTTTTTCATCTTTATTATTAAAATGTTCTGTGACTTTTACATAGCCCTGGTACTGCGGGTGAGAACTGGGCATTTCCCTGTGTGGCCTAATTTGATCCAGCCTGAGGTATTTGCAAGCCACCTAGCATAGTATCCATAAATAAAATAATAATAACCATAATAATAGCAATAATAATCAAAAGTACTCATTGTTTTTTTTTTTCTTTTTGAAAATGGTTAAACTTTTTTATTCTCTTTGTAGATACACTATAAAGAAGAGTTTAAAAAATCTAAGGGCAAGTGCATATTTGTACCTGACACCCCGCAGCTAAAACATGTGAAAAGTCTCGGTGCTTTTATTTCTGAGGTAAGACCTAAAAGATTGCTCTTTGTTTCTTATCCCTCGTAAAAAACACATTCAATATGGTGTTTTTTAGCAGGGGAAGGATGGCTTATTTCAAGTAATAATTTTGTTTACAGCTGAAGTGACTTTAAGCACTGTAGTTAGTGTATACCATATATATGAGTAATAATAATTTGGAATTATTATTTTTTTGAATTATTATTATTACACTTTTATTCTGGAATTCCAAGATATTTTATTAATGGTTCTGAGGCAGTCTTAACTATCCCATTTTATGACTGGATAAACTGAAGAATAGGAAAAGGATTTCTTATTAGTTATTCTGCAGTGATGAAGGTTTCAGATTATATCTGTGTGTAGTTTTCCTCCTGTGAAGAATTGACAGCCTAGCTATCAAGCAGGAGGAGGGAAGGAAACCATTACCATGTCTTCACCCCTGTTGTCCTTCAGCAAGGGGACGGGGACAGAGATCAGGTCCATGCCATCTGCTGGTCGCCTGAGCACTTGCATGCGCTTATACGCATACCCATGTCAGAGTTTTTAGATCTTTACATATGCACAGACACGCACAGACACACACACACACACACACAAGTGTAGTGGCCAAGAAAGAATGGCAGCTTCCAAAGTGTCAGAGCAGAGTTTACTGCAAGCTCTTCATGTCCCAGGTACAAGGTGCCGTAGGATTGCATCTCTGAATATTTTCCACAGACAAGAACAGCAGCAGGAGTTTTACCTGACAGAGAGTTGCTTTTGTTAAGGAACTGCTGGTTCTGAGTGATTTTTCTGTCACTGTGACCCTTGGAAGACTTATGTTTTTTGTGCCTCATATTTGTCCTACCTTTATGACTATGATAAAGAACATCCCAATATCCCTATCTGGAGTTATGTCATTTATATACCTTCTATATTCTGTTTCTGATATACATCAGTTTTCTGTGTGGCTGCATTCAATATAAATGCATCTGATGAATATTTTTGTTACATTTATCATCTTATTTTCTGAGAAAGAGTGGCATGTCCCAAGGGACATAAACGTGATGAAATTATACTTTCTAAGAGATAGACTACTGTAGTCTACAGAAACGCAATATAGAGACAGTATTTGTTGAATCCATGTGCCTGGATTCCGAAGAAATGTTTCTAATTATTAATCAAAGATTTAGAGATATAAAGATATTTCAAAACTTTAAAACCCACATATTTAATGATATCAAAACGTTGAGCACTCTGTTGCTTATTGCAGCATTACCTGAAGCCAATGATGTGATGGATGGTTTATCTTGTAAATTACTGACCTCTAGTGTCCCATAACCTGTTTCTGCAAAACTCGAACACTGAAATTCTTAACAGCATCTACGGCAGTGAAAAAAAGCCCTCTGTTTTGGGAAACAGCAATAAATGTTACAGCAAATTATTGATATTTAATATATATATATGGAAAACTAATGAACAGCTCTGTATTGCGCAGTAAGTAAATGACATTAAACTATCATTTAAGATATAGTTATGATTATTTTCACACCAGTACTTGACATTATTGGTTTACAAATTGGAAAAACTTAGATCTGAAGCAAAAGCCTCCCAGATTTTGATCTTTTGTTCTGGCCTGTCTCACAAAACCCTTTTGTGAGGAATTCCTAGTACTCAACAATGGAGAAAGTACAGAATAAATAAAAAGTAATTTAAAATAAATCTGTAATATGCAATTAAGTAGAAATCATGGCAGACATGTTAACTTCAATGTTCCTATCTTTCTCAGTTACATTTAATTGCTACTACTTATTAATCAGTAACACATTTTTTTTTCGGCCTCTCGTTGTTCCTGTTGTGCAAAATTTGGGAAATCAGAAAGAAAAAAGAAAATTTTGATTTTTGGAAATGATTTGTAAAAAGACAGAAAAAACCTGCCTTGCTTACCTTATTTTATACTTCCCTCAAAGTTACTGAATTTGATTAGGAGTTAATGTGCATTGCTTTGTGAATTAGACACATTCTCCTGAAGTATTTTAAAGTTATTATTTAAAGATCTGCTTTTGCTTGAATGTTTATGACAACATCAGATTTTTCTGGTTCTAAGGGTCTATTTCATTTAATAGAAAAAATAGGTAGTATGATTACTGTGTCTTAATTTTTGCATTATATGTCACCTTTTCCTCCCCTCTAGGTGAGGTATAAAGGAGCTGCTAAGAAAGACCTTTGCAACTGTCTTTATCAGCAGATGCCAGCCACAATTGACAGTGTATTTGCAAAAGAATTAACACAACTTCAGAGCAAGGTACAATTTTAGAATCACAAAAATGTTTTTTAGATGAATTGTGTGACAGAATATGAGCAATTTGAACGATATATTTGAACAGGTACTTGACTGCCTACTTGATTTATTTGAGTAAGTTTATCATCCCAAGTTTATCACCATAACTTCTTATCTTCAAGAACTACTCACTTTTAAAATGGTGACAATCTTACTTGTTATGTTTATTCAATATAAATTTACAAACTACTAGTGTATTCATCAGTCCAACGAAATCCATTAGAAATCTGTCAATGCAATAAGGAATTATTGAATTCAGTGACATTGCATTGCCTTTATAGAATAGATGAATTTTATATAAGAGCCATTTCAATTTGGGTGTTGTATTAGCTTTATAAAAAGTTTAATGCTGAAGGGAAAAAAAAATACTTTAATAGGTACTTAGTGTTAAAAATAAAAGCATTTCTGATGATCTAGGTACACCACTCACAAGAAATATTATAGAATTAAAAATATAAAATCAAGTATATTGAACATAGTGTAAAACATGCAACCAACCAGTAAATTCCAGTTGGTTGTCTCCAGGGACTTAAAAATATAATACCCTTAATATAGGCAGATGACCCTTCGCTTCCCTTGATCTCAGTAGAATTGTATTAGGTGTGTGTAATATGAATGAAGTTGCAAATTTTCATTGTTACTCATGAGAATTACAGCTGACAGATGGTCATGACTTTCTGTCCGCCAAGCATTTCCACATTTTCCACATTTCTTTCTTTTTGCCCTTCTCCTCTCTTAGAGATACTAACTACATATAGCTTAATACAGCAAGTTTGTGAAGTGAACACACTCCTAAATCTATATTATTGATTGTATCTCAATATGCATTCTTCTAGCAGTGATTTTTTGTTTTCAAACAAAGGTAAATACTCATAACAAAAGAAAACACTGAAATCTCAGGACAGCTTGTGGATAAATGTTTTGATTTAAACTAATGTGTTAAGTCTATATTAAGCAAATATAGTAACATAAAGAATATTTATTTTTCATACTTCGAAATGGAACATATATACACTCAATGCAGGATAGTAGCTGAAATGACAATAATTTGACATTTCATTGTAAAGTGAGTGATTAGAAGAATTACAGTAGAAATAAATAGGGAATTAAACTTGTATAACATTTTTAAACCATTAGCTTGATTTATAAAACATTAGTTAACTAGTTTGCCACAGATTTACTCCTGGATTCATTCCAAATGAGTACATTCTACATTAGTTTACGCAAATGAGGCTAATTAACGTCTGTGATGTGGCAGAAGAGATAAATAACTGAGACTAAAAATTAAACCATTTGATTCATCAGAAAACCCCTTTTTAAGTAAAAGACTGACATTTTCATTTGATATTTTTGAAGGTTTTCTTCAATCATCCAAGAGTCATAGAGGAACAAATATGCATATAGGATGAGTTATATTTAAACAATCTTTTCCTTTAAAATTCATACCATCCCTCAGGAATAGATGCATTATAAATCATAATCTACCATAAAACTTAAAGATACGCTGACACATTTTTCCAACTTGTGGTTACTGTTGCAGTGGACCTGAATTTAATGCTACTTTGAGAGAGATCCTAGGGGATTTTCTAGTGGAAAATCTTCTCTACAGTATTCAAATCTAATCCATATTGTGCCTATCACTGCAGCACCTAAGTAGTAGCTAATACAAGGATTTCAGATTTCAACTAGGTCAGGATATGGCAGAGAGGATTTCTGCTGCATCTTTCTAGCTGGGATTGTGAATTTACAGGTCATCGCTTCAGCAAGAGGAGACCAAGGGTATGCCATAGGAAGGAGAGAGAGCAGCACTGGCTGGCCATTGTGCCAACTCTCCTTCAAAAAGGCTGTTGCAATCACAGAACTTCAGTCTGTTTCTCAATTATAGTAAGTTGATTTTAAATAGGTGCTGATTTCCTGAGAGGTGGAAAATATGAGTACGTATTCTCCTTGTCCATGTTAGAACAAATTGGCAGCTTTGACTCCCTTTTCATGCTTCTTGGATGCAAGGCTGGACTTGAATGCTTTTGTAGCCAGACCAAACAGGTGCTTTCTCGCTCTGTGATGCCATGTTCTTGGCAGGAGCCATAGCCTCATCTGCCAAGCAGGAGTCTTGGGACTAGGGGATCACAGTGTGGAAGAATGAATCTGTGCTCTTGCGGCCCAGAAGGCCAACCGCGTCCTGGGCTGCATCAAGAGGAGCGTGGCCAGCAGGTCGAGGGAGGTGATTCTCCCCCTCTACTCTGCCCTCGTGAGACCTCACTTGGAGTATTGCGTCCAGTTCTGGAGTCCCCAACATAAGAAGGACATGGACCAGTTGGAGAGGGTCCAGAGGAGGGCCACGAAGATGATAAGAGGGCTGGAGCACCTTTCCTATGAGGACAGGCTGAAAGAGTTGGGGCTGTTCAGCCTGGAGAAGAGGAGGCTCCGGGGTGACCTTATAGCGGTCTTCCAGTACCTCAAGGGGGCCTACAAGAAAGATGGGGAGAGGCTGTTCAGGAGGGCCAGTTGTGATAGGACAAGGGGTAATGGTTTTAAAATAGAGGGAGGTAGATTCAGATTGGATATTAGGAAAAAATTTTTTACCACGAGAGTTGTAGAACACTGGAACAGGTTGCCCAGAGAGGTGGTGGATGCTCCATCCCTGGAGACGTTCAAGGCCCGGTTGGATGAGGCCCTGAGCAACCTGATCTAGTTGGAGATATCCCTGTTCCTTGCAGGGGGGTTGGACTAGATGACCTTTGAAGGTCCCTTCCAGCCCTAACCATTCTATGATTCTATGAAAGAGAACCACTGGCTCTGCCTGCTACTGCCTGCTTGCACAGGACTGCCGAGGCTGATATGCCTCTGCCAGGTGATCTCCTTACACAGGTGTGTCCTCAGCAAATGGTCTGTCCCATGATTTGATGTTTGATCCTGAAATGGTGCTGCTGCTCTGCTTCTGTCCAGCAGCTCCGTTTTCAGCCTACTTAGATCTAGCTCAATGTATTGATTTTATACACTGTTTCAGATCATATTCATGATTTGGGAACTTGGTGGCAACTAGGGTAAATTTCCTTTTTCTCACAGTAAATTATTCCCCACCTACAGCTGCCCCTCACTGTCCTCTCCAGAGCAAACAGGCTGCTGTAGCACCATCTATCACTTCTGCGTGCTCTGATACAGCAATTGTCATTGACTTCTGTAGAGCCAGGACTTTGTTCTGCAGGGTTCCAGCCATACAATGTCAGCACTGACAGCATCTTACCATAACAGAGAGTACAACACCTTGACAGTTGTGATTCTTCTCCTGAGGAGCTTTCTCCCCATATTGGCTGTGTTGTTTCATGCTCAATTCCCTCTTCAAGATACACAGGAAAGGCTAAACCCAGACCATCTCTGCTGGCTTTTACCTAAAGCCTGCAAAAGATAGAAATAAATACCCATAGAGAAGGAAACCCATCTGGAATTTTGACAACAAATCATGACACTATTTATGGAAAAAAAAATGTTTCAGGAGAATAAAAAAGAAGTTTCGTAGCCCCACATACTTGGGTGGTTTTTATAAATTTCATTTTTTTCTCTATGCAGAAATTTTGACTGTCGCCTTCTAAATAGCTTTCTTGAGGTTAAGCAACTAAATTTTCCTCTCTCTCTCTCCCTGTGTCATAGCTGTTCCCAGGCTAAGCTAGAGAGAGCAGGTAAAGTCCCTGTTCCCACTGTGTAAATTCACCCTCCTTGCCAGCTTACAAAGCTCTCACCAATTTCCGTGTTCTCTGCACTGAGAAAATAAGGTTGATGAGAGCAGTATCCTTTTGATTGATTGAGATTAAAAAAAAAAAAAAGTTGATGAGAGCCCTCATTTTAATTTTCCTGAGAGGAAATGGACGTTTTCTGGAAAAATTGCAATTTTCCTGTGGAAAATATTTCTGAAGGAAAATTTCTGATCATTGCTAGCTTTGAGCTCAGTCTTTTTCTTGTCTGAAGACCGGTATACTGAATTCTTCCTTACGCAGAACATTTTTTTTTAATAAGGTGTCACAAATGATGATAAAGGTATTTGAAATTGCTTGAGGGGGAAACAATGTTGAAGAGAAAGTATGCGTTTCATCACTTTTTTTCATCACTTTATTTCTGCCATAAGAAGAGATTGCACTGTTTTTCTTCTTATCTGAAAGGAATAATCTAAAGCAAACTGAAGGCACTTTAATTTTCTCCTTTGCACAGGGCAATATCTCACATAGTAACTATATGTCAATGCTCAACAGTATTTTCTGTTTGTTTTTAAAAATGATGAGCCAAGTGAATCTTAAGCAACATTTTCAGCTTTCTAGAGAAAGTTTCAGAGTTTTTCTTACTTGTGGACGGAACCCTCCTTTTACTTTCATTTGTAATTTTTTAATTATGATAAAGTTATTTTTGTAGTTTACTGCATCATTTACAATCGTATTACACATTTTCAGACTGTTTTATGATATTCTTCATCATTTTTTATAGTATCAAATCTCATATTCAAGATTTCCTCTTTTTATGGTAGCAGGTATTAGTCTCCTGGACTTCTCTAGTTTTCTTTTACACAAATATGTTGAACAATCTAATGCTCTATCTAGAGATTAAAATTACATCTTCTGTGTTCTTGAACATTTCCTGCTACAAAATCCTCCATTGTGGATTTTAAATTCAGAGTTCAGCTTACTGGCTATAAAGGGAAATATAAAAATAAAAATTTAATAGTGTTTAAAGTATTCCAAAACAGAGGGTCAGTCAGAGTTAAGTTAAAAGGCGCAAAGCCTTCCTTAATGTAGCTTCCTATTGACACATTTGTTTACAAGAGAGATAAGAAAAATAAAAAATGAGTACTTAGAAATTAGTTCAATCTGAAGTCATACCTACTTAAATAATTGCCTTGCCTTTCTGGGGTTAATAAATGGTGCCACTACAGAGTAAAGATTATGTCAGTGACCTATAATGCCTGATCTCTCTGTAGAATAGTTTCATATGTAGATTTGAAAGGGAAAATTCATTTTAGCTAAAACTTGAAAATTAACATGAAATGAGGAATAAACGTACACATGCTAACATGTGAAATAATGGTTCTAGGAATTTGGATGAAATAATAGAATTTTTTTCCTGCTTCCTTGGAACCAGTTTACAGATCTGTGAATAGTTCTACACTAAACTGTCCAAAACCAAACTAGACAGCTTTTGAGCTCCTCCTAGCCTATGCTTGCTTCAAGATTACTCAAGTCAGTTAATAAGAATAATGTGAAAAGACAGGAAGAACACAGGTGTCAAATAGCAAGTCAAATATTCCTACTTTAAGCTAAAGAAACAGTTATATTTTCCCAATATAGTGGACACTCAATTGTGATTTCTGTTAGTTTTCTTATGTTGGGAGTTGATGTGCTTTTGTTTTTTGATGTCTTGATTACATAGCACATTCACCAGCAGAAGAACATAGATGTTGAACCAGCAGAGAGGCAACGTAAGAAAATATCTGTAAATTAGTAGATTTTGGAAGTAACTGTACGGGTCTGCTTCTCAGAATGGTATGAAGTGGGGAACATCTTAAATGTGACAATGTGAAGCAGGAGAAACAGGAAAATAGTTTTTGTGGCATATGTTTATGTATCAATTACACTTTTGCTGGGGATAATTTGTTAGTGATGCTTCAGTCTTATTAAAGATTATTTGCTTTGCCAGTTGCAAGATGTAATCAGTATAGGGAGGTTATAGACATTTTTTTATTTCAATTTAAGTTGTGTTTTTTTCCCCGGAGGCCTGATCATGATGGATTTATACTGTATAAGGAGATGGCACATTTTGAGTTTCCTGATTTGATGCTTTCATTCATATAGTAGCAGTGGAAAAAAAAAAACACAACCCTTTTTTGTCTTAATCTCTCAGCCTATATATTATTTTGTAATCTGAGATAGTCAGGGCAGATACTAATATATTGCCTTGGGCAGCCTGATCTGTGACTCAGATGCAATCTTGCTGCCTTAAACAAAAACAGATACAACATTTTCTCACAGTTCTAGTATCCTGTCCTAAAAGAGTGCAAATCACCATAGTCAAGAGTTCCCATCTCAAAACTTTCACACTATTCTTTTATTGCTATCGAGGGTTTTAGTTTCAAATCCTTCTCCTCCTGATCAGCTTTCAATCTTATTTAGTATTTGCTGTTTTCTTGGGGATTATTTTAATGCTTGCTCCTGAGAGCTATTAGAAAAGGAATTGTCCTGATGCTTGCTGCTTCTTCAGGCATCAAAACCCAGTGAATTTTCTTAATGTAAGCCTAAAAGCTTCTGCCAAGGATAAGTGCAATATCAGCTTTTCAGGCAGTTTTAGTATGTCAGTGTGTGTATATGTAAGTATAACACAGTACAGTGAAAGCTGGATGAATGCCCAACATTGAACTCAGTTTCCATTATAAAAATAAATTTGTTTATAAACTCACAATCCACTTCCATTTTCCTTTACCATGATGACAATTGAATGTAAATATTATTTTTCTTTGTGAACCTGGGGGCTAGTTGAAATGTGTAGTGTGCTAGTAATTTCCTAACAATGGAAGAAACAGATGTTTGGGCTGTGTAAACCTGTTTATTTATGAGGAATGCACAAAATATTTTTTTTTTTTCTGAAAACAGGGAAAAAAAACCCCAAACCCTGAAGAAATATTTACTTAGCTAATATATTCAAGTATGTTTTGAGCAAAAAAAAAGCTTTCCCTTATGCTTTTCCCTGTCCTGTCTTTCACCTTGTTAAGGTTAATTTTCTGTTTCTGTTTATTTCTTTTTCATTCTCCTGTTTACTCATACCTCTGTTGCAATAACAGACTCAGAGAGTCTCTCTGCTGGCTGTGCCTCTGTCTCTGTTTTGGGAAGAAGCTGCTCTCATTTCAGGGTTCTAGTTCCGTTAAGGAGCTTAATTATTTGTTAGATTTCTTCCTGAATACAGGCACACTAGACGCTGGGTTTAACTTTGCTCATACTATTATACCTGCTCTGCTGAGGTCATGGAAGTATAATGTTGCTCTTCTCAGGTTCTCTATAAACAAAAACATGATGCTGAGAAAGGAACTTCAGATTATGCACGTATGAAGGAGCCTCCAGATATTAAGCATGCCATGGAAGTCAATAAATACCAGAGTGATGTAAGTACTCCCCCATCTAAAATAAGTTCTCTTGTTTTGGGTAGATACATCTATTATAGCTAACTGAACTGAGTTGGGCATGGAATATTTTCAAGTTTTGTTAATTGTGGTTTTTTTTTTCATTGTTTACTCTGAAGTAATTTGGAACATGAGGCGTGTTTAAAATATGCTGTGAGTAATGGTATGTGGCTTTTATCCTAAACTGTATTGGAAAGTGGTTGTTATTGTTTTTTAGTAGTAATTGTTATTAAGTACTATAAGTTTGAAATAAAATTACAAAGACAAGTTCTCTGAATTCATATGTACCTACTTGTACTTTAAAAGTGTATAAAGCTCTTGTTTATATGAACACCAGCATGGTTTCAGTATCTTATACTGCCAACATTTGAGTAGTTCTTCAAGGGTTCTGTTTAGAGGAGAGAAGGGGGCTGTTTCTGCCCTGCTTTTCCACACTTTTATGCATGTCAATAACTATGTTCCCGTCTCATGAGTATGTATCCAATAAATTCCAAAGAACAATTTATGATTTATTTTACAGAGTCTGAGCCATAGAGTTCAATTTGATGCCTGGCACTAGTTTATGCCATTGATCAAGGTGTTTGTAGTTTTACTTAAATAATTTACAAATAAATTAGAGCGTTTAGCAATATTTTTAAAGAATTTGTTTGACTTTTTTTTTTTTTTTTACTACTGCTTGTTAACTTCTTGAAGTTCTTTAGGTTTTCACAATATAAAAAGCCTAATAATAGTATTTACATTTTTTATTAGTTTCAAGTCAGATTTGATTTCATGGTTGAGCTAGCTTATACTAGCTCAATGCACCATTGCTAGGGGGGGAAGCACTTCCAAGATTACTGTCTTGAATTATACAAACAAAACTTTGAAGAAAAATGTTTAGCTTTTGTAAAAGCTTACTTAGGAGAAAAATAAATTTTAGGAGAAGATTGGCTAAAATAGTGAGGTTGTTTTAAAGGGTACACAAAACCAGTAAGAGCAACTGACATGGAAATGGATGATAACTGTAAAGGTATTTACATTCTTCTTAGGTAAGCAAGTCAAGTCAGGTAGGTATGCAATTTTATAACTCTTGTTTCTTAGATAAACAGGATAAACATTTGTTTGCTGCTAACAATGTAGAAGATGAAACTTGGGTGTTCATTTTGAATTAACTTAGATTTACCCTATCTTCCTTACTGACAGTGTAACAAACACTCTTAGGTTATGTCGGCTGAAAGCTAAATGTCACTGTTAGATGTATGTCCGTGTGTGCAGAATCTTGACAGCTGGCCGCTGATTAAAAGGCTGCTGGAAAACTTCAGGGAAGCATTATGTTTGAAGAATAACTTTTTCTTCTGCTGGGAAATACCTGCGTTGGAACTCCCAGCAGTAATTTACAACCTGCCTTGATTACAGAATTCCCTCTTCCTGTCAAACTCCGTCCGTCTCTGCTGTTGGAAGCATCAGGATGTCAGACTGACAGAGGGTAGGAGCTGGGAGCATAAACTTCTCTCTCTACAAGCAAGAGATTTTTTAACCTAGCAGTAGGAGTGATGGTGGACTTACTAGGGAAGGAAATAACGTTGGGAAGAGGGATGGGAATCCCTCTCAGGGAAGGTGGTGGGACCAGGAGGAATATGAGATGAGTTTTTGAATCGAATTCATCATGGCCTGAGGATTAGTATGCTAGTGCAAAACCAATTCCCCTTCTACAGCTGTACATCACCTGCTAACAGAATTAAGAAGAGCAGTGTACAGATGTGATAGTAAATGAAGTTCAGTTGTTTCATCTCCTCCACCCTCAAAGCAAGTAAGAAAAAGGAAATGAAGGCAAACAGGAGGGAAGGGAACATTTTGATAAATGACAACTTTTAATAGCATGTTAAAAATAATGAAAAAATATGAAGGAAATTATTTTCAGCCTAAGCAAACTTCAAAAAAGTCAAACAAACCCTCTGTATCCAACCTAAAACTCTAACCAGTTAGTTTCATCTGTTTAAGATCAGATTCTTTCTGGTTGCTCATGGGGAGCTGTGGTGCAATGGGGATATATCTTTATTGCACGTAAAGGAGCAAGTTATGTAAGTCCAGTTATTGTTCAGTGGAGTTACACAGCTCCGGCGGGTAATTGTTTGGACACCATGGCGAATAGCGGCAGATTTCTTGTTTTGTAAGTACAGGTTTAATTAAGAGCCGCGTGAGTTTTCATCTCTGAGTCAGAGCGTGGAAGAGCGAGCATCCCAAATGGGGAGCATTTGTCTTTCCCAGCTATTCCAGGCTATTTGTAGAATCACAGCTTTGAAAGTGCAGAGAAAAAGGAGGGAAACTACTAGGGGAATAGAAGGACAAAGCTCTTTTATCCACCACTCAGTACAGCATACCTATGGGAGCAGAATGCGTGTTTACCTACAATGCTCTGCCAACTCAATTCAACCTTTACATGCAGGGTTTGCATCTAATAGGATTAGGATGTGTTTAAGACTATTTACTCAGCCTTAAAATAAGGCTGACATTTATACTCAACTCTGTGAAATGTGCAATTTCCTTTAAAAATTAAGACTGAATTCAACTTACAATACATTTGTGCTGACATTTTAAAACTGTCATGTGCTGTAGGCCTTCACACCACTTTGAATATCATTAACACGCTGTATAAGCGTGGGCTGAAGCTGTATAATAGGGAAATACTGTAAAATCTTTTGAACAATGTGATCATGTATAAGAAAAACATTTTTCTCTTCTTGATACTTAGACTGAAGAAATTACTCTCAAAAGAACAAAAGTGACTTTTTTAATGATAAGGAATTTACTTGAAAAATAGTTTAAATACTACATAATGCTTGAATGAGTGCATGTTTATCCAAACCAGAGTACTTTTCTCTATAGATTGTGTTTCTGTTTTGTGAAGTGAATGTTAATGATGTGACTTTAGGACACAAAGGCATTTGGAGAAAAGTGAAGTAGAGACCATCAGCCTACTTTATGCCTGTCATTTAGCTGATGTCATTTAGCACATCTAGTTTCCAAACTAGGGACCAAAATTAGGTGGTGACCCTTACACGACTGTCAGGTTACAAAACAGTGGTTCGCCTTATGTGTAGCTGAGGATCAAATGGATGGAAGATCCTAAGTCAACAGTGAAATGACATGACAAGCTTCTAAAGCAAACAAAACACTTGCCACGTTGTTCCTGTGTAGAAGCTGCACATAGTCTTTGATGAGGATACTCAAAGCTGTGGATCAAAGCTGGAGAGGGACTTTTTACAAGGCTATGTAGTGATGTAGGACAATGGCTTTAAACTGAAGGAGGGTAGATTTAGATTAGATATAAGGAAGAAATTCACTCTGAGGGTGGTGAAACACTGGAACAGGTTGCCCAGAGATGTTGTGGATGCCCCATCCCTGGAAGTGTTCAAGGCCAGGTTGGATGAGGCTTCGAGCAACCTGGTGTTAGCAGAAGGTGTCCCTGCCAATGATAGGAGTGTTGGAACTAGATGATCTTTAAGGTCCCTTTCAACCCAAACCATTCCATGGTTCTGTGATCGTAAGTCTGTTCCATGACCTGGTCTGTCGCTGGGCATTATGAATAGTAAAACAATGTTAAGTGTTTATACAGCAATTTATGCATTCTGGTTGGTTAAAATTATTGATTCTTCTCACAGCATTACATTGTACCAAATAAGGAAGTGGTGTTTTGATTTTACAAATAAGAAAACTGCAATGGACTCATCTGTGGAAATGTAAAAGGCAGTTTGAAGATCTGAGGTTGGAGCTCTGGTATCTTTTCCCTTACGCTTATGTATGAAACAGTGCTGCTTTTGAAATGTCACTTGACAGTTGGGCAAACTTTTGATTTATATGTATTCTTTTTGCAGTCACTGAATCACAGAATGTTAGGGATTGGAAGGGACCTCAAAGGATCATCTAGTCCAATCCCCCTGCCAGAGCAGGACCACCTAGATCAGATCACACAAGAACGCATCCAGGCAGGTTTTGAACATCTCCAGAGAAGGAGACTCCACAACCTCTCTAGGCAGCCTGTTCCAGTGTTCTGTTACCCTTACTGTGAAGTTCTTCCTCATGTTTAAGCGGAACCTCCTATGTTCCAGCTTATATCCATTTCTCCTTGTCCTATCATTGGATGCCTGTGAGAAGAGCCTGGTTCCATCCTCAGTCCATATGATGTCAGTAGTGGTAATTTATTATGTTTCGCTGACCATCTAAATTTGAATATTTAAGAAGTCTGTATTGTCCTAGGAGTAAGTTTTTTTTTTCATGTTCAGGATATTGCGTGTTCACAATCCACACCACACCCAAAAAAATTTGCTTTCTTTCTGATAAGACCAAATCAGCAGATATTAAACTTAATGTGCTTAGACACCATGAATAACATACCAAAACGTCGGTGTTTGTTTTGATGCAAATCATTTTAAAGTCAAGCTTCTCCTGGCTTTCTGTTCAGCATCTGCATTAGAAAAATCACCTTTCACTGACTAACTTTCTGCTGACGGTGGTTGTCAACAGCAGGTCCCCCTGGACCACTTCCAACTGGTGCTGAAAATGATGTGTTTACTCCTGAGGCAATTTGGACCAATCAATTTTCAAGCCCATTACTGGAAAGGATGACTGCATCAATCTGTAATGGGCCAGAAACGTGTTTGTCTCTTCTACACGAGCCAGGAAACAGTTTTCAACACCATTTGAGTGGAGATCAGAAAAGCTGCTGCCAATGATGATTGTCACCAGCTAGTCATTTTCTTAGTGTTGATGGACCCCAAAGTGCAGATGAGAGAGAAGGGGGCAGAGACACAGCTGACAGGCCATTAGTTAGTGGACTTGCAGCTCTTAGAAGATGCTAAGCAAGAATAAACAATAAGAGACAAATTCTCTTGCAGATAGGTGTGCCCCGCTCCTTGCTAGCTTCTGTGTGTGCATCTCAAGAGGGCAAAATGTGTTTATAGCTGCTTGTGCATATTTCAGTACTGTATTACATATAGCTTGGA